TTGTATTGTTGAAATAAACTTTTATTCTAGTAAACATAATTTTGGATTATTCCAACTCTATGGTGAAATCTAAAAAATTATTTTTACTTGCAATAATTAATAAAAAGCCAACTCTTTAAGTCTTTTCTAAATATTAAATTTAAATATTCATTTAAATAATTTATCATTTATTTTTTTAATAAATTTATTATTATTATTTCTTTTAGCAAAATTATTTTTTAAATTATCCTAACATTTTGGTGAAATTTAAATAACATTTTTGCTTGTGATAAAATTTTATTTTCCTTAAATAGTGAATTTTATTTTTCATTTCTTTTATTTATTTCTAAAAGAATTATTATTAGTAGTAATAATAATAATAATATAAATAATAAACAACAAAAAAGAAAAAATAAATAACATAAAATAACTTTAAAATAAAAATAAAAAAGAAAAGAAAAAAGGAAAACTTGTCAAACAAGTCAGGTCGATGTGCGGGTTGACACTCAGATCCTACGCGGGTCTAGTGCGAGTCAGACACCCAAAACAATGTCGTTTTGAAACGTCTATAAAGGGATCGTTTCTCTTTTTTTATTTTTTCTTTCCCCTCTCTTTCTACCCTAGAGCCTCTTTCTCTAAAAAACCCAGCTCCTTTTGCCAACTGCCATGGAACCTAGTTTTCGATCAGTTGTCCCCGTGCACCGATGGTCAAAAATTTTAATTGAGTCCAGAAAAATAAAAAATCCTAGATTCTGACCAATTTTTTCAATTTTCAATGGTCGAAAAATTCAACGATCATAAAAAATTCAAACTTTTTTAGTTTTTGGTGAAATAAAAAAATTTTCAAAAATTTTCAAAAAATCCCAAATTGATCCTTTTTGTTTTCTAAACACTCTTTCCAAACTAAAATTTTCAAAAAAAAAAAATCCCAAACCTCTTAGATCGAGAATTCTATTCTCGGAGATTTTGAATTTTTTTTTTTTGCTGTTGATTCCTCTATCAAAGAGGACTATGATTGTTTTTTTGTTTTTGTTTTGCAAAACCCCTAGGCTTCCTTTTGTTTTTTTCTCTATGTTCTATTTTGTAGAAATTAGCTCTATTTATAGAGTTACCAGGATTTAAATCCCAAATCTCATGAGATCTTTTTGTGAAAAATTTTAGAAATCTGTCCGATGACTTTTGGTTACCAAATTTTATGCTGCCAAGTTGGCAGTGTCAAGGAGAAAAAAACATCACTATGGTAACTTGATTTCAGCTGCTAGAGCTGAAACCAAAATATTTTCTAACTTTTTTTCTTTTTTTAAAGATTAATTAATAATAATAATAATAATAATATAAACAAAATTATATTTAAGACAAAATTAGTGCTTATAGAGCTTTTTCAAAATAAAATACTGGTTTTAATGAATGGTTATAAAAGTGAGAAAATTATCTTAAATGGCTACCAAACTATTGGAGTAATTTTAAGATAAATTTTAATGATTAAATTATTTAGTAAAATTAAAAAGATACTTTAAGGTTTTGATAACTTGAAATCAAATTGGCACCATATTTTGGATGGACACTATAAGGGTAATATAATATTCCTCACACATAACCACATTCTCAAACCTAAATTTGATTTCGTAAATTAGAATATAACATTTAAAGATACTTAAGTCAAGCTTAAGATTCCTTTTTAAAAATGAAACAGACTCAGTTAGGTGGTCAATTGCACCTAGCGACTCCTTAAATCCATGTCTAATAATAAGTTTTCGAATTTATATGTTATGACAAAGTAAAATAATTTATTTTTTTCAAATTTCTTTTTCTTTTCTCTCTTCCCTTCTGCTTCTCTCTCTAAAGATGATTTTCAGTCGTTGAATTTTGTAACTTTCATCAAAAATTTCTTCCATCATCAAAATTTGATCGAGATTTGGGTTTCTTATTGAAACCTCACCAAAAACTGAAAATTCTTATTGAAATTCTGGGGATGTTGTTGAAAACTTGAGAACTTGTCGAAATCTCATTGGAAAACTTGAATATCACTAAAAATTTTATTTTTTCAAGAAAAATTTAAGAAAAATTACAAAAAGCTTTTTTTTTATTTGAAAAATTATCTTTCAACACCATTCGTTCTTCTAATTCTTTCCAATTAAAAAAAAAAACCTTTCAAAAACACTTCTCTAAACAAAAATCTCAACTCTATTTTCACTTTCTAATTTTTCGTTTTTCCTCATTGTCCCAAATTGGTCTGTCTATCCTTTTCACTATAGTGCAGGTCTATTTGTAGAGGAAAATTAACAAGTTCTTGATCACTTAAGATTTAATTTTTAAAATCTTTATATTATCATAAAAAAAACCAACATTTATCTTTACGAATTTAAACTCAAAACAATTAGGATAAAACTAATCTTATCACCAGCCATTTCTCTCTCCTTTTTTTTTAAAAAAAAAAAATCGACCATATAATCCTTTTTCCCTTTTTTTTATTTTAAAAATGATCTTTTTTTATCCAAGAAATAAAAAAAATAAAAAACAATAAATAATTATAAAAAGAAATAAATCAAAACAAGATAAATACATGAAATAAAGATAAACATATAAAAAATGATAAATTCAAAAATAAAGATAAAATGAAAAATAAAATAGAGTAACAAAAATCAAAATTTCACGATTGAGCTTGAAAAAATCCAAACTCAATTGATTTGGGTTCGGACTAAACAAAGTGTGTACATAAATAAAATTAAAAAAATATTAGAATTGATATAAATGTTATACAATCAAACGTTTATTAAATTTTATATAATAAAATTTAGAGAATTAAATTAATATTAATATAAAAAGAATGTTAGAAACCACACACCACAATATTTAACTTAACATTTATTATAAATATATTAAGTGTATATAATATATTCATATGATTATTATTATTTGGGATATTCCAACAATGAAGTTAAAAATATCAGTGAATTAATTAATTAAACTTTATGATGTACCTATTGATTTGTATCTATAATTAAATACATATTTTGATTTTATATATGAATTTATTAGTAAAATTTATTTAAACAATATAAATAATATTATAAAAATGTTAACCATCGATGTTGATAATGAATGGTTTAATTGATATTCATAAAAAAATTACTAATTAATAATGTTCCTTTATTTTTTATTAGAATAATATATTAAACAAAAATTGTAAATTATCCAAAATTAAAAGTAAGAAGACAAAATAATACATGATGGATAACAAAGTAAAGGTTTAATCTTTAACATTTGACAATTAAAATTATTTTTTTAAACTTTTTAAAATTTCTTGTTTAAAGAAACTTAATTAGCATTAGTGTTATTGTTGGGTGTATTTTACTGTTCAAGGGCAGAATCGTAATACTATTAACGTAAATGACTTAGCAATATGACAATGATATTTCGATCATTGGAGCTGAGCTGACGCTATAGACTAACTTAATTGATCACAGCTAGTCTCAATCTTGCAAATGCATTCCTTCAACTGATAGAGATGTGATCGAGTTGATCTATCATTCATCTATTAGTAGTCAACACATCACATTAGCTCGAATCAAACCACATATGCTTAAGATTCAATCTTTCATACGCCTAAGATTCAATCTTTTGGGATTGATCGACTTATCTTAACCAATTTTTTTCACAAATATAAATATTTCATTTCATCTTAGATATTGATAACTCATTCCATTCTCCATTTTTTATATATATATTTTTATTTTTTCTCCTCTTTGCACCGTTGATTTAAGTGTCAGAATAAAAACATCAAAAGCAATTTAATCTTTATTTTTAATTCACCTCCAATTTTGTAATTTCAAGTTTCAAGCCTCTAGATAGAGCTTGACACAAAGCCTTATAAAAAAAATTTCATCTTTACTAAAGTTTATGTAATAGTAAAGATCAGGATACGTACGAAAGAATAATTGAAGTTTGTCCACCAAAGTTTTATAATTTCTTTTTCTTAAGGAAATCAATTTCCTATAATTAAGGGTGTTAATCACCAACCAAACATGTCCACATGTTAACCAACGAAACAAGGACCCCACAACTTTGTCTTTTAGAGTGAGATCGAAATGCCACACACCGATATAAACATATTATTTCAATTTGCCTTTATTATTGAAAAATAGGGCACTTCACACAGCAAATTTTTATACAAAAGAAAAGTTCCTTTGGATTCGTCTCCACAGTTGAATCCAAAAACCTGGGCTTTTGCAGTTATAGTCAGTTTGCTGGAGCCAATTAGCAAAAACCGATAGTTGCTGATAAGAACACTGCAAATCATGTCAATTGTCAGCCAACAAAATAGCAGACTTTTTACAACAGCAGTTCATTTTTTATACAAAATGTCTATGAAACGGCTAATTTATATGGAGCGGATAACTTAGTTGATTGTCGGCAAGGAAACCCCGGAAGCCCAATGTGAACTGACGTGTGCAGTCTTTACAGCTGGAAGACAGCGTGGGTCAGCGTCACTCGTCAGGCCAATGTTTAAGCCGAATCCAACGGAAACCGTACAGTTTTTTCTTCTTTTCTTTTTTTTATCTACAATGTCTGGGACCCTCCGCCTACTCCAACCGTCTTTCACGGTTGCCCCAACTGTTCCTTCGTTCTTAGCTGACTTTCTTTGCTTTCAAAGCTAGTTGTGTTTTAACTTTATCACCCTTTAAAATAAAATCTCATCTATCTTCTTAAATGTCACAAAAGAATTTTTTTTTTTTAATATTTTATCTTGTGATCTTATCAACAATTACCCAACAAAATATTTGAAGGGGAGAAAACTAAAATCTGAGAAAAAAAATTCAAAAATAACTGTAGCACCAACTACAACAAAAAAAATAAATAAATAAAAAACGACCGTATCTCATCTACTATTATTAATATATCGAAAATCAGATACTAATTGTTTCGAATAAAGAAATAAAAATTACACTCATATGTACAAAAAAAAAAAAACCTTAAAAACAACAAACAAATTACTTATAAGTAATTAGCAAAATGCAATAGACAATGAAATTTAAATTAGTTAGTTAATATGAAACAAACCAAGAAATTAAGGAAAATACAATTTATAAACTTTACTTACACAAAAAAAAAAAAGAACTAACAAACAACAAAACTACCGGGGTTAAAAAGTTTTCACTGCTCCCCCAGCCAAAAAATGTGTAATCCTCGTCTTTTTCTTTCAACTTATACAGGTTTCCTTTAGTTTTCCCATTGCATTTTTCTTTTTAATGAGAAAAATAAAAAATCCCTATATATAAAATATAAGAAAAACAAAAACAAGAAAAAAAATTTTATCGTACACCTTTGCGGTTACTATAACCATAATAAGATAAATACCATCTAACAAATTTCTTCAACCCGGTTTGCAAATCGGTTGTCGGCTTATACCCGAATTCTCTTTGGGCCGAACTGATATTCGCGTGTGTGAATGGAACGTCACCGTTTCCAGGCATATCCACGATATTCCTTTTCGCTTTCACCTTCAAATGTCTCTCCAAAATATTCACCAATTCCGGCACCTTAACCGGCGACGTGTTGCCCAAATTAAAGATTCTATACGGAGCAGGCCCCCGTTTCTTCCCACCAGACCCGGTGCTTTTCCCGGATGTATCCAACGATCCCAAACAACCTTTCACGATATCGTCAATGTAGGTAAAATCTCGTGCCAAATCAGACCGATTCTTTCCCCGATACATGGTGATCGGCTTCCCTTGCAAAATATTTCTCGTAAACGAAAAATACGCCATATCAGGCCTTCCCCATGGACCGTACACAGTAAAAAATCTCAAGCCAGTAATTGACAGACCGTAAATATGATTATAAGTGTGGGTAATTTCTTCACCTGCCTTTTTGGTGGCTGCGTATAAACTAGCCGGCTGGTCGGTCCGGTCCGCTTCAGAGAATGGAACTTTTTCGTTTAAACCGTAAACCGAACTGGAGGATGCCCAGACAATAGCCGGCTGGGGATTTGCAGACTTGCAGGTTTCGAGAAGCATGACAAGACCGGCTACGTTGCTATGAACGTAAGAGTTAGGGTTTTCCATAGCGTACCGGACCCCGGCTTGAGCGGCCAAATGCATCACGTGAGTAAAAGCCACCACGTCGAAAAGCTTAGTCAATAGCTTGGCGTCGTTCAAATCACCTTCAACGACCAAAATGCCATGGCTGTTAAGCAGCGATTTCCTCGCTCTTTTCAACGAAGGATCGTAATAGTTATTGAAGTTGTCAAGGCCAACGACTCCGTCTCCGCGTTTTTTGAGGGCAAGGGAGACGTGTGTACCAACGAAACCAGCCGCTCCAGTTACAAGAACGGACATGCCACCAGAACGGTGGATCTGAGCGGAGTTACGGACATGCTTTTCCCATTGGATACCACCCCAGGAAGCAGAGAAATAGCGGCTACCAGAATCAACGAAACTCTGGAAGCTCAAATACGACGCCGTCAATGCGATCAAGAAAAGAGCCCATAAAAACATGGTGCTGGTTGAAGCGAAGCAACGGTGGAACTGACGGTTCATATTGTGGGCTCTGTCGATCTTGAACTTTCCTGGCGTCGACGGGAACAGCTCATCCTCCAAAGACGGCATTTTCATACTATTATCTATTTCTAAACTTTTTTCTTTTTCCAAAAATTATTGATTATCAGAGAAGAAAGGGCTACGGGGAGAAATTTTTTAATATATATTTTTGATTTGTAAAAATGATATATATAACAGATGCAGAAAAAAGGGAGGCTAGTTTTAATTTTTCCTGCACCTGCTAATGGAGGGAAGGTGAGGAAGGCTTATATAGAGTGGTCACCCACAAAGAAGCGACAAGTATAAGCGTGAACGCGTACGGCCAGATTGAAATGGGAGATGTCAATAAAAAAATAACCTCATTAAAAAAAAAAAACGTATAAAACTAAAATTTACTTGCCATTTACTATTAACTGTGTATCATGTTGTAGTAGTAAAAAAATTATTGTTGTTTATTTATTATTATTTTTGGGAATTTGGACAATAAATAGATTACTTTTATTGTACGCGGATTTGTTTGAATAACTATGATTGACTTGCTCATTTTTTTAAAGTTACTTTTTTTGCTTTTTCCACGAATAATGCAAGGACGAAAGAGAGATAAAGGTTTTTAAAAAAATATTGGTGGGGGTAGTTTGGGAATGTGTAAGTGAGAACATGGGACCATGATATACTTTTTTTTTTTAAAATAATAATATATCTTTTTATCGAAATGTGGCCAAGAAAGAAAAAAAATTGGAAAAGTGAAATTTGAGAAATTAGTTTTTGTAGGAATGGACCAATTACCGGAAGAAGCGGTCTTGACTGGAAATGTAGATAGGTGAGAGAAACGAAAAAAGACTAAAAAAGGAGGAAAAAACAGCGGGGCAATAGCCCTGCGCAACGGGTGGATTCGGCTGTCTGGCCTTCGTTGGTCATGTGGGAATTGGGCGGTGACCCTTCTTTATTATCAATCTATTTTCAGTTTCTTTAATTTGTCTTCTGTTTTTGGTTTGACTATATCTGCAATTTTCTTTAATTATGTATAATAAATAAAATTTTCCTTTCGCTTTTGCTTCAGTGAATTGAATTTCCGGATGCTTCGTTTAGTAGGTTTTGGATAGCTTGGTTGGCAAATTGCGGTGGTAGGGTCCACTTGGAAAAAAAAAAAGGTGAAATGGATGGCAGATGATGAGCCTGCGTGATTATATTCATCCGCTCATCTCTGCCTCTCTCTCTATGCTCTGCTAATGCTCTTTCCCTGTTACAATGGTGTTCCCCTTTGGAACTTTCCTCGATGCTCGCCTTTTTTTTCTTTTTCATTTCATTTATTTTGCATTCAAAATCCTTGTTTGGTAAATATTTTGCTACTTGTGCGATTGTCAGTTTTCCTTTTGAAGTAGTTGCATAATTGGCATAATGGTAAATACACGTCTTTGGTTAAAATAGTTTGATTCAAGTATTTCCTCCATGCATGTCTGGCGTAGTGGTTTTTGCGTAATTGGCATAATTAAGTTAGATGTTTGATACATACTCACTTAAAAGTATATTTTAAAAACTCAATAAATGAATATTATAAAAAAATACGTAACATTCTTTTAAACTCGCAATGTATGAAATTCTTTCTATTCAAATATTGGTTTTGAAACTCTTTTTTCTAATTATATATATAGTTATAGCTTAAGAAAAAAAAGGTAAAACTTAATCGATCATTAAATATTATTATGTTAGCTTGAATGAAATCAAAATAATATATATAATTTTAAAAAAATAATAAAAAAGATAAACATTCAAGCATTAATTTGACTCAACAATCTAAATATATTTTTTTAAATAATACGATTTGAATTTTTTTTCTCAAATAACACTAATGAAATGCATAAATTTATCTTTTCTTTAAATAAAAATGCAAAAATTTACTTGAAGCTTAACCAAAAGGTACCGAACTACTTAGTAACACAAGCCATTTGTGAGTCATAAATGTATCAATTGGTTTAATTTTGATAAGAACACTGATGACCCAATTCGAAATATTAAACAATTTCAAATAAATTGAAAACAAATATTTTATTGACACATATAAATGAGTTTAAAAAAGAGTTTAAGAGAGAAGAGATTCGACCGACGACAAGTTTTTGCTCAAACGCCCTAAATGCTTATATTGGATTTAGGAAGATTTGGCAAATAAAAAATGATGTCTCATTATGCAAGTTGACCAAAATTAATAGCATTGTTTTGGGCAGCGTCAGAATCAAAATAATTGCTATTGCTGAATTTTATAATAAGTGGTCCAAATTGGAAGTTTAATGTGGACATGTGGCTCAATTTATTATCCAAAAATTCAATTATCAAAAGCACAAATTGTTATATTACGTTCTTTCCATGGGATCGTTTTCCACTAACTTATAATTAGATGTGAAGGTATTTGTCTCAAAAGTAATCAGAGTTTCTTTTTAGAATAAGTCTTGAAATTCTTTTTTTTTTTTTTAATCTTAAGTTTGATAGTTCCACGATGTAAAGGTTCTATCTAATTTTATCCTTGATTTATTTTTTCTTTATTTTTTTTTTATATAAAATTGATCTAGTAATTATAAATTATCATATCTTGAGAATTATTTGATTACAACTATAAATTCTATTTAGGTACATAATTTAGAAAAAAAAAAGATAAAAAAAGGCCGATTTAACAAGACGTCAAACTAATTAAGTATCCAATTAAAATTCATTATCTCTCTTTTCATTGATTTTTTAATATTAAAAATGGACTCATTCATGAACAAATTAATTTTTTTGCAAAAAATAGGGAAATCTTGTTTTGAAAGAGAATAATAAGGTTAAAACAATGTGTAGTTCTTTTTTCAGTGAAATTTTTTTTAAGGGAAAGACATAAATATTTCTTATTTTATATTTATCATATGTTTTTTAATTTTTTAATTGAATTAGTGTTATTTGACTCGTAACATTAAATTCAATAAAAAATTTTATAAATATGAATACTAGTTTTAAGATCCGTGCATCATTGTGGCTTTATTTTTAAAAAGTTTTTGTATTAGTTAAGCAATTGGGATATAAATGTCAATTGCTTATGTATATATTGATTAATTTTAAAGAATTTTAAAACTTGCAAATAAATTAGCACTTTTTTAAAAATAAATGCTGCACAGCCTAAGAATAAAAAAAAATTACAAGTCTTCCGTTTTGTGGCCTAGTGGCCACAGACACCTTTAAGAAGATATAAAAATTTTAGTTTCGAATCGAATCTTCTCCCTTATAATAAGCCTTTATCTCCCTTGAAATAAAAAAAAATTACAAAAATTACTTTATTTTTATGAAATTATAAATATAAGTTATAATCATAATCAAATATTGCATTATTGAATAATCAAACAAATAAATTAATCAACAAATTAAAATATAATAATTTAAATTCAAAATAAAATTAAACTAAATCCATTTTTAAAAAATGAGATAATTTTATATGACTCTTAAATATAACTTTTTTCTTCGATAATATTGGAAGATGTATAAGGGGTGAATTGTGCCCTGTCAAAAGGAAAAAATAACATTTCAAAAGGGAATATGTCCCTACTTTAAATTTTTTGGGGAGATTATTAATTACTTGAGATCCTAACCATATTTTAAAAATATTTCTGAAATTACAAGATACAAAATATTTTTTACCACTTGTTTTAGGAACTTTGGTAGTTTGGTTATGCTTTTCATTTATATAAATAATAACACAGAAAAAAGAGTGTTTTCTATAAAAAAAAAAACTATAAAAATACGTTAAGCACAAAATTGAATTTTATTTTTATATTCCTTTATAAATTCCAATAAAGAAAGAAAAAAAAAAACACTGATGTAGATATTTCATCAACTCCCACTTCTGCCACCATTTACATTATGCAATGTTATTGAATTACACATTTAAATATGCTACCTTTACAATTGATGCACCATCTAATTTAAGTTTTGATCAATTATTCCATGCACCTCATTCCTTTATTTATGCTGAAATATTGAATGCACACTCGAGTTTCTTCACTTAAGCATAAATCAATAATTAACTTTTTTTTTAGAAACCAGAAGCAAAATGAAGTAATAATAATGAATAGTCAATAATTACAAATAGTTAATACATATATCTATATATATATGTATATACAAATATTTATTGGTATAAAATACCTTGGCAATTACGAAAACAAAATCATGATTAGTGAAAATAAATTGCAGAAAGTCCGCGAATGATGATGTTAGATGGCATTTGATCCCCCATTAATTACTGCTGTGCTGTCTAACTTTATTATTCACATGGCCACCTAAACCTATGCTCACTTTCCATCTTATTTCTTATGATTATAAATATATCAAGTTGCCTAATATTAATATTTAATTGAAATTATATTTAAATTTTGTAACTTTTTTTTTCTTTTTAATGAGAAAAAAAATCATTTTATCCTTTTCTATTTTTCTTTTAATTTTCTAGGTATATTTCCTAATTTCCTTTCTAGTTGCCGGTTGGAGGTCTCGTACTGGGTGCAGGCCTATTTTATTTATTTTTGGGCTCAATTCTACGAGTCCAACAATATTCGTCAATCGTCATATTCTTTTTGGGCTGGAAATAGGCTCTACGTACTCTTTTTTGTACTTAATATTCTTTAAAATTTTTTTCTGTCAAAAAAATATTCTTAAATTTTTTATATTTCAAATTTGTTTTTCATGATCTTTTTTTTATAACCTTTTGATATTAAAAACCAAGGAACATAAATTCAAAAAAAAAAAAAAACCATTGAACATAAATTTTATAAAAAATTGAATGTTTTAAGCTAAAATATCCTAAAATTGAAATGTTTTAAACTAAAATCTTAATCTATCTTTTGAATTATTTGACATGATATTAAAGCTGACGTTTGAATGTTGTGAATTTGAATAAAGCTATATGTGTAATGTCATCTTTAATTAGGAGAGTTTAAGGGTAAATTAGATAGTTCAAAAAATTCTAAAATCCAAACTTTTTTTTTTAATTGTGGTGAAAGTCAAATAAGGATGAGGAATTATTTTATGTGAAAATGAGGCATCCATTTCCTAAGAATTTTGAGTACTTTAATTTTGTGGAGAAAGGTACACATGCCATGAAATCAACGGGTACGATACGAGGTGGGTAAAATATTTGTTATTTTCATTCTTAAATTTTATATTATATTTATTTTTATATTTATACTCAATGGATGTTTAAAATTTAACTTCAACCCCATCCTCAGTGTTATTTAATAGATACAGGTAATTTCTATATCCATAATTTTTTTCAAAAATAAAACAAAATTATATTTTTTATTTTTTAATTTTAATTTTGTATATTTATGTAATTTTTTATAAATATATTAATATAAAATTTAAAATAAAATATATTAATTTTAATTAATCAAAATAATAATATATATTATTTAATAAAAATTTATTTACTAAATATAAATAAATATATATATAAGGTATGAAATAGATGTTATATTATCCGTTCTCATCTCTATATCATAATTGATAAAAAAATTTAAAATTATACCCATTTTTATCTCTTTTCTCATAATATAATATATATTTTCGTTTAGGTAAAAAAATAAAATTTTCCATCGAATATGAATAAAATTGACAATGTCATATACCATGCCATAGGAGAGCCTTGAATATTTCATTTGCACTTAATTTTAGAAGTTGGAACACTTATTTTAGTATTATCAAGACAAATGGTCCATCCCAACTAAACATAGTGGATGTTGAATTGGATTATTTTAGGTGATCATCCAATTAGACTTCTTGTAACAGGTTGCTGTCATTTCTGTTGCGAACTTGTGGCTCCGGCTCGCCTTTATCTGCAACTCTTCATCCTCATTTTTTCTTTATAATTACTATCAAATAACTTTTTGCACATGATATTATATGTTTAATTCAAAATTAATAAACAATTAAAACGAATTTAGGATTTAATTCAATTAATTTATAAAATCTTTTTTAAAAGATGATATTTAACATATTTAAAATTTAAATCTTAATACCTATAATTGTTTTTTTATTTCGAAATTACAATCTTTTTTGAAAAAAATTGAAACGGAAAAAAATATATTAAATGATCCAAATCTGAAAAATGGAAAGATAATAATAATGTCGTAGTATGTAAATAACGAAAAACTTTCAAGCAAAATTCAATAACTTATATTTAGAATAACTGTATTTTTCTGACTTGTTAATTTGCATTTCTCCACAAATAAATCAAATAAAATCAATGTAAAGTTAGATTATACTTGCACATAGTGAAACTTGAGGCCTACCTAACACCTATATTTGGTGGGAGATTTATAGAAGATTAAATTACACTTGTAAAGAAAATTATTGTCATTAGTCCACGTTAGTGCGATCCACCTCCACCCCATCTGTCTCCACTTCTAATTTCTCATAATGTAGAAATAAAAAAAAAAAATATCTGGGTAAAAAAGAAGGAAACTCGTTGAGATTGGGTTAATTTGTTTGATATTATAATTGAGTTACAAATCTATAATTGAAATGTAGTAGCAATGTTTAGAAAGGTATAAACTAGTCAATTTACATATAGGTAACTCGAGTTCGACTAAAGTTTGATTTATTTATTATCGAATTGATTAAAACATGAATTAATTTAATAAAAAGTTAATTTGAATTTGAATACTTTATATTTGATTTAAGAGATTCACAAGCATAATTAAAATTTTTTACTTTTCAAATATAGTTTAATATATTCATTATGTATATATATATAAATAATTAATAAAAAATTAAAAATATTTATTATATTAATATATCTATTTATAATTTTATTGAATTTAATCAAATTGAGTAACTTAAATTAATTACGAATTGAATTCAAATATAAAAATTGAAAAGTTGGTTGAATTTGAATTGTCTGAATTTTTTACTCAAATTGAACTTGAATCGTGATAATGTATCAATTTAAACAACACATAACAAATCTTAAATTTTTAGATCTAAATTAAAAGTTGGCTTGTGTTATAAAAGTGATTCTCATCTTATGGTTTTTGAAATAATAATTTTGTAAACCATAATTTTGCAACCCAATTATAATTCCAAACTGAAATCTAAAATGACAAAACTGTTCTTTCATTAATTATCAATTGATTATCAATAAGAGTAAGTTTTTGTCTAGACAATTGGACAACAGAATATGCTGGTAGAGTGATATTTTTAAATTAATGTACAATTAATTAATTAATTAATAATTGGCTTATTAGCTCAGTCGGTTAGAGCGTCGTGCTAATAATGCAATGCGAAGGTTGCAAGTTCCAAACCTGCATGGATCATTTTTATTTTTGCTTCATAAATTGAATAAATATATGGGCTACTTCAATTCTAAACTAAATAAATATGAGATGCTTAAGTGTTAGACAATGTCTTGGAAAGGTGCAAACAATATTACGAGTTCAAACAGTCCACGATCCAACTTGTCTTTTAACAAAAATATTCTATGACTGCTTATATGATCCAGCCTTATGTGAATAATAGATTGCTTATAACGTTTATTGATTTTTTTTCCCATATGCAGTTAATTTGAAAGATATTACAAATTAAAAGGAGGAGGAAAGACACAATTAAAAAGTGAAAAAGGAAGATTTTGAGCTGACAATGATTTTTGCCATGGCAATTGACAGTTTTTGACAAAAGATTCTTACCAACACACAAAAGAAAATAAACTCACCATCCACTTATTTATTCATATTATATTTATAATGGTGATGACTGCTTCAGACTTCTTTTTTACTTTGACAAGCAAACACTACTCAAGATCTTCCATTTGTGGACCTGGAACCTAGCCTCTTCCACCTGACCCGGCCCTTGACCCCGCATAAGATCCAGCTGATGAACCCGCTTCTGACCCTGCTCCGGAGCCTGAACCAGAACTTGAACTTGATGAAGATGAGCTAGAACTAGAACTGGAACGAGAACCAGACCCAGAACCTGAGCCAGCACCTGCACCGGAACCCGAACCATTTCCGCCAAGCCCAAGACCAACTCCAATACCCACACCAAGCCCAATACCTCCCAGATCTATGCCAAGGTCTTTTCTTGCCACTCGGTTTTCAGAAACAGAGGCACAGGTTGAAACTAGCAATGCAACAAGTGCTAAACACTTCCAATATTTAGCCATTGTTGGAAACCAGCCTACCTGGGATATCCAAAAATGATCAAACAAGTTTCAAAAAACTAGATGATAGATAGGTACGCAAGAGCGAGGGAGGAGCCATACCTATTTATAGCGGTGTATGTAGTGAAGTTGGTTGTAGAGGATAGTATATGAAAAGTAGTAAGCGTGTAGACTGTAGCAAGAAAGAAGTGGAGATGAGGCGCATGTCCTTTGCTTTGTTGTTGGAGAGGTGTGATGTGGTCAATTTTCTGAAATCTGGTTGAGCCAAAATTTCTCGTGGCTGAAAAAGGCTGAGAACACTGGGAGTAGTGGCGATTGCTTTCGGACACTCAGAGTTTGGGCACGTTATCATGAAGAAGGTGCCGACCCATTAATCGATGTCCCCACTAGCTAAAGTGGAGAATGATTGGCTTATATATACGGCCAGCTTTATATTACTAATAATAATATTATAATAACTTTGTTGCTTAAACGTATATGCTATAAACATGCAGATGAATTAATAAAGAAAGTATAATACAAGGGGTGAGAATTAATAAAGATATAGGAAAATTAGAATATACTGGAGAATTCAAGATTTAGTTAGTGTGTTATATACGTGATAAAAAAAACGTATAACTAAGCTGTAAATGAAGTTTTTAAATGAAATTTATAATTTTTTTATTAAAATTATCTAACAAAAACGTTAATAAAAAATTCAAATTAATAGATTAATAGAACTCAACAAGAAGACTAATAATATATAAAAAAAATGATTGAAAATATTATTTATAATTTAAATTTGATCAATACTGATTTTATATTAAAAATTCTGTTAAAATTTCAAAATTTTTAGTAAAAATATCTATCTAAAAAATATATCAAAATTTTAAAAAAAATTTCAAAACTTATATAACAATATCTTTCAATCTATAAAATTTTGAGTTTTAATTTTATTAAATTATTTTTAATAAAAAATTTCACAAACTTCTTAAAAAACTTGTCTAAATCTTTATTGTAACTAATATGAGAAAATTATAATACCACTGGCTAGCTAACTACAGCACAAGATCCACTTTCCAAAGTTCAAAACTTTGATAATAAAACTACATACATTTTTCAAACTAAAACTAGTAACTCGAGAATTAATCTTTTATTCACTTGGAGTACGTACTTCATTCTCATAATAAAACTTTTGTTTTACATCTCCTAAATGAAGCAAATAAAGGGAGTACAGAAATAGGATTGTACAATAAGTTTCCCTAATTTTTCATCTTTGATTTTTTTTTTATACATATTTAACAACTTCCAATAGCATTATATTTCTCTTCATTTGACATGGTAATGTGCAATCATCGTGTTTATGGAAATGTGAGTTTGATTTATATTTGATCCACCGGCTATAATAGTACTTGTATTAATATTGTATTTACACTATTTTAAGTACAATATATAGAGTACTCATAGAGTTTAGGTATAGGTAACATATAAATTAAAACATAAATTAACATAATTTTCTGAGAAAAAAAAAGATAAATTAAAAGTATTGGTTATCGAATATTGCCAGCTGCTCTATATATATGTTTTAGTTGGACTAAAAATTCTTTTAGATGGATGATGAGAATAAAAACAATAGTGATATTAAAATTTGTTGATGTAATGATAAGATTAAAATTAATAATAAAAATATATATTTGGAAGTAAATGCATTAATATCGATAAAATTAGATATAATAATTGGCCGTAGCAGTAAATAAATATGGTTAGCTTGTCATAATTCAAAAATATTCTATTTTCAATTTTACAACTGGAGGGGTAGTGGGTTTTTTGCCCCAACTGTATCGTTAGGATGTTACTCAAATATATCCCCAAGTATGTGAGAGAAAAATATTAAAAAAATTTTTGGATGTAAGCGTTGGAATCCAAATAAAAATTATGGATATATTTAAATGAACGGTAAAATTGATTATAGTAAAATTAAAAATAATAATAAAAATCATTTTAACAGTCATTGAAAAAAAATTGCCTATAATTATAATTAAAAAATTTCATAACAAATTTATATTAAATAGATTTAGCTCAACTGCTTCACGCACTAAAAATGCGATGCAATCCAAATCCCCCACTAAATCAATAATTTACACTCATGCAAATACTTGGATGATATATGATGGTTTGGACGGAATTCATGAGGTTCTTTCTTCGGTGAATTAACGCGTGATAATTAAGAGCTTAAACCGTTCTAGAATCAGATTATCTTTTTTTTTTTTGGTGGCATTATCGTTTAGTTCAGTTGTATATAAAACCGATATGGAGAAAATATTAACTAAGGAAAAGCAACGATGGAGAACACAATACTACTAATTAAGACTTTTAAAACCATGCATTAGCCTTCAACGTACATAGTAGCATATATGCCTCAAAGAGGTGGGACTCATTCACCATTTATTTATTCCTACACAGTACTGACAATATTTTGTTTGCATGTTGAATTTTAATTGTCACCACCCCTGCCATGACCCTCTCCATAGCCATCTCCTTCGCCATAACCTTCACCATTGCCTGCACCACTTCCCCTGCCAGACCCCTGACCATATCCCTCACCATGGCCAGAACCTGACCCAGAACCACCTTGGCGTCCCTGGTTACCACCTGACCCAGACCCAGCCCGAGACCCAGCATAAGATCCGGCATATGAGTCTGCTTCAGAGCCTGCATCTGACCCAGAACCCGAGTTCGAATAGGATGAAGATGAAGAACTTGACCTAGAACTGGAACCTGAGCCTGAACCTGAGCCAGCCCCAGCTCCAGACCCAGAGCCACTACCTCCCAGACCCAGGCCTACACCTGCTCCAATCCCCACTCCTACACCACCAAGATCGATACCCAAGTCTTTTCTTGCAACCCTGCTCTCTGACACAATAGCTGACATAGCAAGGAGAAAAGAAATCAAAGCTAGGTACTTAAATACAGCCATTTGGTTTTTGTCACTCTTGTATAAGAGGAACACTAAATCTCGTGGGAAGATGTAAACTTAGCAGATGCAAATGCTAATTGAACACTCCAATCTCTTATTTTCTGCGATAGATTGCAGGCAAAGTAAGCTATTTATACAGTTCTTGATGGTAAGGTTTTGGACATTAATTAATAAAAAAAGTGTGAAGTTCGAGTTAGTGGAGAAATTAACAGGAGGTCATTAGCTTACAGGACACGTGTTTTCATGTCACCGACCCATTTGATCTCCACTCAACATAGTGGAAGTATGAATGGCTATTATCATGTTGACTACAATGTTTCTGGTAGCTTCTTCAATTATTGTGGGTGGGTAATTAGCTTCCTTTACTGCTGCAGCTGGCTAGCTCACGATCCTTTAGGGAAGGAGAAAAATAAAAGCTCATTATTAGGGCTTGTGTATAACTGAAAAAGATTGGATGTAGTTGAAGATATAAAGCAGCGCATGCGCATCCATCGCCATGATGCCAAAAGTTAGTGATTTTAAGGATTGCACGCTAGCTAGTTGATGTAGCAAGAAATTTAGAAATGGTCGATCTTACAAATTCGAATTGGCTGTGCATCATTTGTCTCCATGCTTTCCAACTCCAAACCCTCGGCAGAAGTTTGATGATTTGATGATCATGAACACTTAATTTAGCATGTCTTTAATATTTAGTGTTTTCTTTGTCTAATTCCGCCGACTCTTTTACAATGTAATTTTATGCTATTAATTAGCATGATTTATGTGTTACTTTTAATAATGTTGATCCATCTTAGATGCTGATTAAGTCTTTATTGATTAACAGATAAATTTCTCTAAAAGTTTAAGTACATTCTGCTTTTTACATTAGTTTGACATTAAGCCAGGTGTGGCGGTGGCGGAGCCACATACAAGTGATTGGGATCACTGAAATTTCAAAAGCCTTTAAAATGTGTTTAGAAAAAAATATTAAATTGATCCCATTGACTTGGAAATATTGCGAGTCCATATATAATATTAAAAAATTTTATTAAGACATACAAAGGGTTATTATAAAAATTTCCAAATTTAAGATATCTTTCACAATTTTAATATTTAGTGAATAATAAACCTCATTAACCGGTTTGGTTTTTGAAATGAAAAATTATTTTTGCTTTTGTTTTATGTCAAATTTAGATAAGGAAACATTACAAAAATTTTTTATATACTGACGCTTAGTTATACTGACGGTTAAATTATGTCAGTAAAAAAGATTTTTGCTGATGAATTTTTAATATCGTTAAAATATATCTTACCTTTATCAACACTTATATATTAACTTTTTTTGATGATAGATAACTATCCGTCAATATAAGTATGCTATATATTGATACTTATCTATACTAACGATTAAATTATGTAAATAAAAAGTATCTATACTAACGAATTTTTGTTAATGTCAGTATAGGCAGTGCTTATACTAACACTTTGTAAATTTGTTGGTATAAGTAAATTTTTTCTGATAGTATATAAATATCTATCAGTATAAATATGCTATATACTGACGGTTATAATAACTGTCAATATAAGCTAAAAAAATTTATTCTTAAATTTTTTAAAAAATACTAATTCATAATATTTTCCTCTAATAAAATTTTTAAAAACTATAATTTGATAAAAGCTATAATTATTAATAAATAAAAATTGTAACTTAATTAATTTTAAATGATAATAAGTTTTTTAAAAAATTTGTAAGTATTTATTAATTAATAAATTTATAATTAAATATTAGATTAAAAATTTTTTAAATATAAATATTATATTAATTTGGCTTTGATTAATATTTCAGTTTTAATATGCTTTCATAAAATTTTAAAATCATTCTAGATCGAAAGTCAAATTATAAATAATCTACATATATAGTAGTATTTATATTCATATAAATATTTTTCTATGTTATTTGTAAAAGTTTTTTTATAAAATAATATTTATTGTTTATTGTATTAGCAGTTTGGGATTTCAAAGTTTAAGAAAGGAGAATGAATTTTAAAAATGATCACAAGGTATTTGACAAAAAAAAAAAAACACCTTCAATTTTTTATAAGAGAATATTCAAGACGTTTTCTGGGCAAAAACGTTTTGAATATTCCAAAAAAAAAATTATTGGGATTATTGAAGGTATTTTTGACATAAAATACCTTGAATAATCCATTCTAAATGAATAATTCATGGATTATTGAATGCGTTTTTGGCCAAAAATACCTTAAATAATCCATGAATTATTCAAAGTGTTTTTAACCAGAAATGCCTTTAATAACTCAATTCAATATTTTGTTAAAGATTATTCAAAGTATTTTCTAGGCAAAAATACATATAATAATCTCTTAATAAAAGCTTGAAAGGGATTATTCAAGGTATTTTATCACAAAAATATCTTGAATGATAAAAAAAAAAGAGATTATTGAAGGCGTTTTTGGCAGAAAATAACTTGAATAATCTCCTCAAAAAAATTAGAGGGGATTATTCAAGATGTTCTTTTTACTAAAAATACCTTGAATAATCCACTAAAAAAAATATAAATGGATTATTCAAGGTATTTTTGGTCAGAAATACCTTTAATAATCCTATTCAACTTTTTTGTAAGGGATTATTCAAGATATTTTCTAGACTAAAACACCTTAATTAATTCCCTCATAAAAATTGAAAGAAAATTTTAAAGACATTTTTGGTAGAAAAATCCTTCAATAATCTCTTATGATTTTTTTTAAGAATTATTTAATGCATTTTTTACCATAAATGTCATGAATAACTAGATGCTAAGATTTTTTAGAGATTATTTAAGGCGTTTTCTGGTAAAAAATACCTTCAATGATCCACTGTCCTACCTTATGTTCTCACGTCTTGGGAATAAAAACTTTTTTAAAAAATATAAACTTACTAAAACAAAAGTAGTGAAAATTTTGTTCCCACCATTCTTACCTTGCCTTTCAGTCCTTACTTTGCTTGAAGCTTACCTCGTCTCACTCTTCCGAGCTTTTGATCTTTTTAACTTTTAAGCTAAAATCCTTTTTAAATTTTCAAGCTTTAAAACTTTGTCCTTTTGCAATTGTGAGTTATTTTAAATATTCTTGTTTTTGTTTTGAGCTACTTTCCTTCTATTCTCTACCTTTCTCTTGCTTATTCAATTGAAACTGATCTTGGTTGTCCTTCTCCTAAAAATAGATAAGTTTAATTATAAAGGTACATTTGAAATATTATTCTTAATGAAAATGTGACATTATGCTTACATAGTCAAATTTTATTTAGTGCTAAAATTAAATGCCATTATTTTAATTTAAGTTGTTAAATTAAATATAATTTTATTACTAGGGCAAATCATCTTACATTCTATGGATAAGGCGTGGATAAATCTCACGTCAAGAGTCAATGAAGAATACATAAAAGGAGTCACTAGTTTTTTAGACTTTGCCTTTACAATATCATATGAAGATGGAAAATTTGGTGCCTTTGTGTTAAATGTGTCAACACATTTAGAGTTTGTAGGAGATATGCATTTGATCACATAATATGCAATGGTTTTCTCAAAAAGATATGTTTGATGGGTATTTCACGAGAGGTCTTGGATGTATGTTTACCTACTAGAACAACTAATGACGAAGAAAGAAGGCTAGATTCTAACATCTAAGATTTATTACATGATATGATGGTTGAAAGAGCTATAAATGTTGATGTGGGTAACATACAAGCTGGAGATACTAATGGAGACTGGAGAGCAACATCATGGTCATAAAATTGATAGTGACAAGTTTTATGATTTATTTAAAGATACAGAGAAGAAACTATATCCAAATTATAAAAACTTTATAAAGTTTTCTTTTGCAATCTATTTGTTCTACATTAAGTGTTTTAATGGTTGGATAAATAAATCTTTCAACACATTATTAGAGGTTTTGAAACTTGCTTTGCCAAAAGGCAAACCAAGGTCTTATCAAGAATTGAAAAGATGATTTCTATCTTAAGTTTGAGATATGAAAATATCCATGCTTGTCCCAATGATTGCATGTTGTTTTGGAAGGATAAGGCAAATGAAAAAATATGTTCAAAATGTGACGCTTCTAGGTGAAAAGATAGCTTGAATGATATAGAAAGTGATCCGTAAGATATAGTGTTAAAAAAAATGCTGCTAAGATTTTGCATTAGTTTCTTTTAATTTCAAGACTATAAAGGTTATTCATGTCTTTAAAAATTGCTCCCTTGATGATTTGGCATGAATATGAGTGTACTAAGGATGGACGTGTAAGACATCATGTAGATTCTCTAGTTTGAAAAGAATTAAATTCTCGATATCCTAAGCTTTCCTTTGATCCTAGTAATTTTCATTTGAGATTAGCTTTTGATGGCTTTAGCCCTTTTAAAACTATGAGTGTGACACGTAGCACTTAGCCTATTATATTAATACCTTATAACTTACCTCTATGGATGTGCATAAAACAGTCAAATTTTATTCTTTTCCTACTTATTCGTGGTCCAAAAGGTCCTGAAAATAATATAAATATATACTTACAACCTTTGGTAGAAGAGTTATAAAAACTTTGAGAAATTGGTATTCAAACTTTTGATGCCTTAAAAAATTAAAACTTTCAATTGCATGCAACATTAATTTGGACCACTAACAACTTCTCTGCATATGCCAATTTATCTGGGTGGAATACTAGAGGAGAGAATGTATATCCTTACTGTGAATTTGATACTGTAACTAACTGGTTACAACATGGTAAAAAATATTGTTACATATGCCATCGTAGGTGGTTATAACCTAATCATAAGTTTCATAATGATAAATACTCATTTGATGGGACTCAAAATTTATAAGTGCTCATTCACCACCATCTGGGAATGAAATGTTGAGAAAGTTAAAACAATAGAATGTTAATGAAGATGGGCCATGGAATAAGAAAAGTATTTGGTTCATATTACCTTATTAGGAACATCTTCTATTGCGTCACAATATTGATATGATGTATATGAAAAAGAATATTTGTGATAACATTCTTAGTACATTGATTGGGTAAGGATGAAAGTTAAAAGGATAATTACAAAGTGCGACTTGATCTTGTAGAAATGGGTATAAGGAGTGTTCTTAATCCAAAGACTTA